GTACGTCACGCTCTTGGTGCACAATATCATGACAGTGTAGCTTTGAAAATTACAATGTGAAAACTGATCGCCCTGTTCAGTAGGGAGGCATACGCACAAACAAATCCCGCCGCTCGAGTTCTCCCTTCTCCGAGGGAAAGATGTTTGTGAGTTGAGGAATTCTTGTGATTGCTGACAGCTGAAGTCGGTATCGTCATTTTTGCTCGTTCACGAGCCCAGTCATTAGAATCGACAGTGACACTGAAACAGGCCAGTGGTACCATGGCGATCCAAAGAGAAACATTCAGTGATCGATGTCGATTTAGTCACGAGTTTTTATTTCACTGCCTGGCTGATTGTAAGCCAGTAGAGGGAGAACGTAGGCATCATGCTTTGGTTTTCCCAAGAACGGCAAGAATCCTGTTTGGCTATCTATCGTTTGCAGTTTGGACGTTAAAGGGAATTGGTTAGCGCTTGTTGTGAAGGTGCGATTTTTTGTTTTTATTTCTTTGAGAGATTTACTTCACGATTTGAAGAAAACTAAGCAAAACAAACAGCTGGTGAAAGAACCTTTCGCTTGGTCTCTATTATCTCTGAAGGTTTTCATTGCACGCCGTATTTGTGCACGCCAACGGCAGCCGTACTGTTTTGAAAACATTTCGTTTTGGGGATGATACTTTCTTAATATCGGTCTTCTAAAGATAAAATTTTATAAACACGAAGTGTTTCTTTACTGAATTTTGCCGGACTTGTCACGAAATGGGTGTGAATATTTCAAGACCTGAAATTATTGAAAATGTAAAAAGATAAAAATAGAGAATATAATTTTGTTGTGCAGTGTTATTGTGAGTGTAATACTACAATTAACAAATAATCTCACGAGGGCGCGTTGGATATGAGATGGGCCGAGTTGGCTATCTACCATCTCATATCCAACAAGCGCGAGTNATGATACTTTCTTAATACCGGTCTTCTAAAGATAAAATTTTATAAACACTAAGTGTTTCTTTACTGAATTTTGACTTGTCACGAAATGGGTGTGAATATTTCAAGACCTGAAATTATTGAAAAAATAAAAAGATAAAAATAGAGAAAATAATTTTGTTGTGCAGTGTTATTGTGGTTCGCTTGCCCTTTTAAACTCGTATTTTTCTTTGTGTCGTATTCATTCTAGCTTTCTTTAAAATTCTCAGAGTAGTCGGCATTTAATTTCTCCTAACAACACCAGTAAATTATCAAGCAAAAGGGAGATGAGAATACAGAAATAGAAACCTAAAGATCCGAGGGCAACTATGAGTGTCATACTACAATTAACAAATAATCCCACGAGGGCGCGTTGGATATGAGATGGGCCGAGTTGGCTATCTACCA